ACTTATCTCCCTGTTGTGAAGTCCAACATCACCCAACCAGCAAAGAGCTGACTTCTGGCATCAAGGATGTTTTTAAATACTGTGAGTTCTCAGATCTAACCTCTGCAGGCAGTTCTTTGCTATTGTGCCCCCACATAACTGGTGCAAGATCCCAACCCCCTTTTTGCCAGGCAACAGCTGAAAGCACTTGGTCACAAAGGGACCAAGCATCACCCCCATCTACTCCTCATTCACAAACTGAGCTACTTCATCCTGGTAGTTAGTTGCCATGATGTGGGCAGCGGTCACCTCTTTCCCATGGCTGCTCTTTTTGCCGTGGATAGCTTCCGGCAAGTGAATTTTGACCGGCCATTTGATGGTTGATCTATAGTAGGTGCCTTAAACTACTCCTGTTATTCCTTCCTGATCTTTAGTTCAAAGAACAGATAAAGGAACAAAAAGAAAATTGTTCTGTTTCATCCCATTACCTTCCCCTATCCAAATAAAATAACAGCTGAGGAGTATTTTCTGCTAGAAGAGTCAAAACATTTACTACCTGTAAATTCAGCATCCTCTGAACTGATGAAAGCAGGGTGCTTTCCCTTGGCACTGTTCAAGAGGCATTAACTGATTTTTTAATTGCCCTAAGCAACTGCAGTTCGTGTTCTCCACAGCTAAAACACAGTAAGTTACTCCCTCAAGCCTGCTGCAGGAAAAGCACAGACATCACCCTGAGTCTGACCAGAAGTTGTTCTCGGGATGCAGCAGGTTTGTAGAGACAAACTCCTACCACAGCACACAGTACACTTATCCTGCACAGGCTGGGGCTCATGCTATGCAGCTGCTTGTACATCATGGAGGTGGGAATGTGTCACAAGTACTTTTCCCCTAAGAGCTGGGCTCTTCATTGAAAGCTAAGGTAGCGTCCGAAGGACAACAATTGCTTCTCAATTTGTTGAGAACAAGTTCATCATTACTAATTATAACACCTCTGGAAATTCCACCAGATTTCATCGATGCAATGATGGATTTTCCTTTTACATCCTGCTCAGCCTTTTCCCTCACGTTACTTCTGGTGGAAGTGATTGCCATTGATTTCACAAAAACATGTTCTATTGGATTTGAATTTGTCACCTTCACTTTAGAGACAAATGTAAAAACTGGGCCAATAAAGCCACAAGCCAAAACCAGGAGTTCTCCATCCATTTTCTCCGAGTTAGTTGCAACTGTAGCTAATTTAACTTTAAATTCTCTTCAATCTCTCTGTAACATTCCTGATGTCTCATTGTTATTTTCAAAACCCTAAGGAACTTGCAGTAGAAAGTGTTTGCCCGTGATGCCCAGAACTCAGTCCTGGATGGATCCAAGCCATTTTAAAACTAAGAGTTGTGCAAGTACTTTGCTTTCTCTATGCTGTCCTTCACATTAAAAACAGAACTTCATTTGTCACTGTGATCCGTTCCATGAGCTTGATGAGATTCCATCAAATGTTCATTATTTTTGGTGAGCTTGACTTTAATAACCGTCACCATTTTCTATTTCACTGGTCATTCCTTTTCCAGATTAAAAAAAAACCCTTAACAATTAAGAAATAAAAGAAGCAGAAACCAATCAGAACTCCTGGAAAACCCCAGAGCCTAAAGAGGGGTTTGTAATTTCACAGTCCAGCCGAAAAAATTGTTAAGCAACTTAGCAATTACATTGGAAACCTCCTCACAGGTATGTACATGTGGCATAATGTACACATGCCACCGCCTTGAGGCCTGTAAACAACTTACTATCATGAACCGTGTTTCATACTGTCAGCCTCTTGAAATAACCGTAAATGCCTTTTATTTTGCTTTGAAACTAAGCTTCATCCTGACAAGTTACGGCCAAGTTCTAGTATCTAGGAAGACTCTAAGTACTCCAGAAGAAATAAAAGGGGTGGGAACTCTCCCTTAAGAATCTGAACAGATCTTGCTGTTTCCTGATTTAAGCACAGAATTCCAATCGGTTTCAATGGTGCAACTGCTGTTAATGATCTAAATGCCAATTTGCAGAGGACATAGAACTGTAAATCTGCCTGAGTTTATGTGTTTAATTAGCGTACAGTGAGTTTTAGATGAAGCATATCCAGATTGTTACTTGCTTCTTGAGGCAAAATTTGTATAACAAATCATCCGAGCACACACAGAACCACAGGCATGATTTTCCCAAAGAATAGCTGCAGAAACTCCCAGCTTTCAGCCAGCCCAAAATCAAGCCACCTTCCTTCTTGCCTGTATGAGGAGGAAGCTTTTTCAGAGCACTGTATATTTCCCTTTTAAATTAAATGTTCCTCCTGTTGTAAGCACAGTGTACTAAGGAAAGGTATTCAGGGATTTTAGAGATCTGCACTGGATTCCTATCAACGCAGCACCTTAGCAAAGCCTTCAACACTACCCTGGCCATATTTTCTTCCTCCAGCAACAGAGCTAATCCCTAAGACTGTTTCAACAGTCATATTTTTTGCTATCATTTAAAAAAACAGAAGTTACAGAGTACATTCACTGCCATCGGATATTATACCTCAGGTGTGAATATTGATTTATGATTGGTAACACATGCAATGGTATGGGAGACGGATACAGTCCCTTCAGGACGTTTCATAGTACGAAGGGCTCCAACTCATTCTCCCCTTTCTTCATGACATCTATTAACTCATCCATATGGAAAATATAATTTCTACCAAACAGTGAAAAACAAATGCCAAACTCTTCAATGTGTTATCAGACTGTCCAGCACCCTGACCCCGTGAAGACTTAGCTTTAATCTCTTGGGGCTGCAAGCAGTCTCTAGACTCCAATCAACTTGAAAGAGAAGCATGTGTGTGAACTTCAGCAAGGCTGGGGAATCTGGATGAACAGCTGCTGCTTTTGTTCTGGCAAATAAACCATCCACAATACAAAGCATCCAAGGAAAAAAAGAACACAAACCTTTTGCCAATTCTCCCCACAGTTTTCCACCCGCTTCACACCACAACAGAAATGCTCTGCAATGTGCATTTGCAGGAAAATAAAAGCAATGGTTCTATCTGCTTTCTGCAAGAGTTTATTTTGGCAAGCTCATGCTTTAAATGCCAAGCAGCATTCAAGGATGTGCTTGGACATGTGCATATATGCATCTTACTCATCTCAACAAAAGGGAACTCCACATACTTCGCTATTTGAGGTCACCAAATATTTTAACTAGAGGCTACTGGGTTTTCATGTATTTATACTGCATTAAATACCTCTCCTGGTTTTTCAAACCAAGATTACATTTCAAACATTAAGTTTTCAAAATCAATGCATTTGAAAGACTTAACAAATAAAACATGTCCTGCCTCAGCCCCTTTCTTTTTGTGCTGTCATAGCCATTTCCCATCTGAGTCTGTGTTACTTGGGTGATAAGCATTTTGGAAAAGGTTAGCTTCATTTTCTAGTTGAAGATAACATGCTCCAAGTAGCTTTCTCAAGCTGATGCTTATCAAAATTTCTTATTTTCTTAAATAAGATTTGTGTCCCCATAGTTACTTATTTAGTAACTACACTGCAGAGTAGAAAGAAATCCCCCCCCCCCCCCCAAATTTATTTAGGCAATAAGCACATAATGCTGTCACCTCAGTTCCCGGCTCCCTGTAAGGTAATGAAGGCTACGAAGCCTTACACTGCGAGTACGTAACTGCAGCGAGGTACACCAGTGCATCTGCAGCTGTGATTGCCCATGCCTGCATTCTCCTCCAACATTAAAAAACCCTCTTGGCTACTTCTTTTGACATCAAAGGAAAACAAAACTGAAGTGATAAATCCCATCAGCAGTTTTCAGCAGGTTTTGCATCCTCCCCCCCTTTCTTAATAAACCATTAGTTTCCAGATTAATAAGTATTATTAAAAGTAGTTACAGACCTAACTACAACCCTTAAAACACCACCAAAATGCACTACAATAGTCTTTTTATTTAGTTTACAGAAGAGTCTATCAGTACAGGTTGCAGAAAGAAAATGTTTAGTGCTATTTACAATTTGTTTTAAAACTCTGCTCTATACAAATTTAATTCTGATCAGTATGAACAATATTTTTGTAAATCTACTGCATATAAAGCATTTCATCAAAGCAGGAACAATGAATAAAATAACCTGATTACATCTGAATGATGTCAATCATTCAAAAAACAATTACACAGAACATCTGTAAGAGTTGTGGACACTTAAGTACAGAACACAATGTCAACCTGTGACTCATTTCTTTTAAAGGCTAAAGCTATTTATATGGAATATTGTTCTATTATACTACACGCCAATCTATATTTAACTTCTATAGTTATGTATTTTATAAGATTTTTATTAAATATATTCTACACATATTTGTAATTTCACGCAGGAAGAAATTCCTCCCCAGTGAAAAAAAAATATAAAATCTTTTATATTTTTTAATTTATTTTTATTGTTTTTACAGGTTTAAGATGAAACTAGCTCATGCTTTAGTGCTGTGCAAATTTCTTTAGCATATCAACGTTTAAATTATTGATATGAAATAAAGGAATGGCATCCTTTTTAATTATGTATGCCTTCAAAAATCAGCTTCTGATTTTAATACCATTGCAAGCACTAATACCAAATGCAGATTACTTAAAGAAACAAAACTAGTACTATGGCAGAGATTTTTCTTTTTGCTTTTTTTAAACTTTAATAATTCTTTTGAAGTCTCTAATGAGTAAGCATGACACTGGACACTAAGGTACAGATGAGAAAATGACTGAAAAAAACACCAATTGCCAATATTCAAGTACATAAAATTGATTAGTAAATTATGTTTTCTAACATTTATGCACAATAATAAAAGCCTATGAACTACAGGAAATTACCCCTCCCATATTAAGGCTAGGAAATGCACTCTCTGCACTGGTTTGTGCTGTCCGAATAAGCACTCAACTGACATACGAGATCAGAGTGCACGCAGTAATGAAAAATTCAGTTTCATCAGCCCTCTACAGAGTGCTTTTAAATTACAGGCACATAGTTTTGTTTGTTGCAGTGAAAATATATAGAGTTAGACTTGCTTTAGTTATTATTCTGTGCCAGTTCGGCCACCAAGGTTGACTTAGCTACAACTGACTTAACAGTTTTTCTTTTGATTTGGCCATAAGTGAGATTTGTTTTAATTATACTACTTTCCAGTGTTGCATTATACATTGTGGGTTATCACTAGGTGTCTCCAATATTGTTAGAGATTGTTGATGAGAAATATACTGTCAACCATATTTAGTGCAAATTGCATCTAGAAAGCTTGACTGGTTAGATCTGGTTAATGGAGATTTTTGTGGCAGCAAAATGATTCCTGCTATGGAAAAGAACACTTTAACTTTCCTGAAGATTGAATTCTTCCAAGAACTGATGTACTGTAAGATTATTCAACAAACAAAAAGTAGGAATTTAAAAAAGAAAACAAACAATGAAAGTGTTCATAGATCTTTCTCTTAAAAACCAAAAAAGAGTAATGAGACAGTGTTCATGTAATATTTCAGTTCCATGGATTTACAGACAGGCTCTTCCTACAGGTCTCTGAAGCAAGGTAGGGCCTCTTCTATTCCAGCAGCATGAAAGACAAAGACTATATTACATCACACTTAGCAGGTAAAGCTAACAGGGTTTACAGAATTACACAGCAATTGCTTTCTCCAGTTTTTTCACGGTTCCTTTGACCTGTGGAGAAAGGAGAAAGTTTTGCTTACATGTCACATTTCTACAGCAATTTGGTTGTTTTGTGTGTCAGGATGCTTGATACATGTTTGCCTTTGATTATTTTTAGTAAAAATATATTATTATAGACATGCATACGTAAGTGAAAAATAACTCAGGAGTAGTTTTTAATAATAAAAATAAAAGCTGTTAAGGTTTGAGTAAATTTCTGTATTCTAGAATAATGCTAAACCAGAAAGTTGATTCCTCAGTTTTCTATAAACAACATATACAAAAGCATTCCATTACTTGCTTCACAAAAGACCACAAGGACTTTTCTCTGCTATGAAATACCCCAATATCCTGTAAAATATCTGACTGCTTTGCCATATACTTGAGTAAGAAATATCTCTAGTGCACAGCTTACCTTGAGAGTTTGGCTCTGGCAGCGTCTCTCTAGCCACCAAATGCATCACTGTTGTTTTGCCAAAAGGAAGTTTTAACGCTGCAGAAGGAGAAAGGGAGACTTATTAACACAGTCGTTTTTCTTCAAAAACCCAACTGAACCTAGCTGTAATTGGATAAGCATTCTGTTCAAAAGTTAATACTGTGAGGTTTGAACTACTAACTAAACATATAAAGGCATTTCTGGCTAAAATTTTATAGATCAGGTCTTGGAACCTGATAATAATCACTTAAAACATTGTGTTCTTAGAAACATTATATTCCTGTTAGGAAACTTAGCCTTCCTCTTGTAAGTAAAAGCAGAAGTGAGCATTCAGACCAAGGTGATAAGCATTCTTCCTTGATATGGATGCAAAAAGCAGCTAATTCAGCCACTAAACTGTTACTCCTGAGACATCAAAACATGGAACCACTACTGCAAAACAGATTTTCCTACAACATACTTTGATCCATGGCAAAGATTTTCCAAAATAAAAAACACCTGCATCTTGCCTTTTAATACTGATCTGTAACATCAGCAGCTTAGGAAGCCATTACAGAAAGAGCAAAATATTACAAACTAATCACATTAGGGACATCTCTCACAATATCAAGACAGATGAAGAGACTTGATTAGTGAGCTGCAAAGGTTAATTATTTACAGTAAACTAGTACAAGTATACTAATATTCTGATTAACTGATTTCAGCAGTAGTTTGCATAGTTCACACAAGTTTTTATTAGCAATTTCCAGCTTCTTGCTTAGAGCACCATGACAGAACCTGAGCGCCCTAACCTTTTCTTGCTCATCTTCATTCTCTCACTCCTTTCTCTCACCTAAGCTAAACTTTTATTTCATTCCTTTCCCACTTTCCCATCCACTTTTATTGCAGATTTTCTATAATCAGAATTTACTTCCCCTCCCCTCCCCCCCCCCCTTTTAGTATGTGTATGGCACAAGGTTGGCTTCCCTTCCCCCCTCCCCAATAAATAAGGAAGTAAAAGTCACTGATTACCATTATCTAACAAGAAACTGAGAACCTCCCTAATTAGTATTATTTCAAAAGCAAAGTACAGACCAAATATTTAGCCAAAGGATGAAATTTCCTGTTGGAAGCTGAACAGACTCTATCTCCCTAGCTACCTCCCCAACCCTTCACACAGGCAGCACACAATGAAACAGTGTGGCTCAAGAATGGCAGGCAAGAGTGGCACAAGCAGTTTTACAAAGGGGTCCTGTTTTCCTTTACCACTTCCAATGCCATCCGCTCTACTGTTTTTGTAGTGACAGCCCATTCAGAGGAGCTGGCAAAAGAGATAGTTTCTTAAAAATAAAACTTCTCTCAAAAGCCAGTTTTTCCTATAAATTCATCTTTTTTTGATGCTTCTGAGTATCAGGAGATTCAGGAGATGACAGAGATATACGAGGTTACAACTGGAATATTACAACGTCACTGTCAAATGCAAATGAAACCAGACTCCTGTTAAAAAAACACCAAACTGTTTCCTTGGAAACTTTTGTTTCAGTGGTTGATAAAGTGACTTTCAGTATGCAGCAGGTACAAACTCCAGGTCAATATTTTTTAATCACCTAAAGCAAATAAAACACTAAGTGCTCTAACTCAGTTATAGTTCATTAAGCCAGAACAGCTTAATGAACTGTATTGTAACAGCTTAAGAAACTAAATATTGTATTTAGCGAGAAATTCCGCCCTGCCTTCACTCCCCCTTTCTCTTTCAAAGATAGCCAGTTCACTTCAGGTTACGTCTAATGAACACCACAACCTGAAGTAGTAGTCTTTTCAGGCTGCTTCATAAACTGCTGCTTCGCTTTCAGATGCATAATCTGGCTCTAGACAACTTCATTAGCACTGAAGTAAGCCAGTGTTTTAGGGAGGTTTGTTTTTTTTTTTTAAACTTAGAACAATCTAGCAAAGAAAAAATCTTTGAAGAACACTAATATACATGTAAGGTCCTTAGGGTAAAACCATAGTGATTACACCGCACGCATGAATGATTAGTAATGAACTAAAATGCCCTGAACCCAAGTGTTCAGAATTCATAGACCTGGGTTAACTCAAGAGTCAACAGCATGCAGCTGTTATTTTTCAGCTTAACTCATTAAACAATGTATTAACTACACTAAATAAATGATCAATGTTCTTTTAGATTTAGACAAACGTCACCAAAGGGAACAAGCACTGGTGATCAAGAGCAACACCTAGAGAGAGATGAATGGCAAAGAAAATCCCATTTAGCTATCTCCTTGCCTGGAAAAGGTAGGGTAAGAAGAGCAACTCTAATGGCAGAGATGATCCAGGACTTAACACATTTGTCTTTCAACCCTACTCCAAATGCTACTAGCTGGCACCTGGTAAACATACAAATTAAAGAGTGAATAAAAATTTCAGAGTTCTCACAGTTGAGTTGACATTGATCTTGTCTGGATATATAGCAGCATTAAAAATTGATTTATACGGAGAGTAAATCCATTCTAAACGTCCATCACTAGCCAACATCAGTAACAATAGAAAGCGAATCAATGACTGTATCATTCCAGTCACTTCATGGAAAGATCACCATATGCAGTTCAGAAATATTCTTTTCAAGTTCATCTTAACTTCAGAATTGCTGAAATCTCATTTTGTATTCTTTTCTCCTCTCTGTATTGTACTCAAGTACCAAATGCATGAAAAACCTGAACATACAAAGTGGAAGTATTAATTTATTTCTAAACTGGCACAAAGAAGAGAATCTCATTTTGTTTAGTCATTTACATAGTTGACATTCACACTGGCAACTCTTCTCTACAAAAAGAAAGATTATTGTTACAACTTTATGTCATATCTCCATCAAAGATACCCATCAACTATACATAATTACGGGGGAAAGCTTGCCACAAGGGGGCACAGTTGAATTGCATTTCCTTGGCATATGAAGTGGAGCCATTTACTTCTGTTTTCACATAACTATGCAATTGTATCCCTGAGAGAGCACTGGACAGCAAGAATGCTTTCCCTCATTCTCATTCATACAGTGTCTTCCTTCACTGCAGTAAGATTTAAAGTATTGTTTAACCAATTATCATAGTGTTTATCAAACATTTTAAGATACTTCAGACATTACACGACAAGGGTAGTGTAAGAGAGGTGGAACAAAATATTCCATTTTAGAAAGAAGAAACAAAAGCAGCATTACTGTTTCTTTATGCAAGAGGAAATTTGACTTAGCAGGTGGTACCCCCCAAAGTTTAACAACTAGCAGTAACAAGATGGAAAAATACACAATAAGATACATGTTACTCTATGCAGAGGAAAAATACTGTATAGCAAGCCATCCTGGGATCTTGAATAATAAAGTGGCATTTACTGCACTGTAAATAAATATCACCTTTGCCTGGCTGTAACATGCATAATGAAAATTATTTTCATACCTCCTAATGTCACATTGCCATGAAGAAACCTCCCTTGATAAATAAGCCGCAAGATATTTGGACTGCTGACTTGTTCTTCTTCCCAATCTGAAAAGAGAGAATTTTCACAGTTACATTGTAATAAAAACGCCTTTTGTTATTTCTCTCACCTTTACCCAAGAAGAAAACTAAGAATAGGCCTCCTGCAGGAAACAATGAAGAGAGAGCACAGGCTGAAGACACAGAAAGATAATTCAAGGCTAGCACTCCTGAAATCTGTTATTCAGAAACACGTCATTTTATGCCTACAAGTATAATGCCTACAAGTATAAATATTACTAACTCTACAGATTGCATGAGATACTTAGTCCTACACTAAATAGTTCATAAATGCAAGTTGCTTCCTGAGGTTTAATATCCACTTGGATAAAATTGCCTCCTCACTAGCCAACTAGCTGGAGCTGCTCTGCAGCCACAAAGATTGAAAGCACATGTGATGGGTCATTTGAAATGGGATTCTGAGATGACAGCCCTGAATTGGCTCAGCAGGCTGCTCAGCAGTGTTCCACAATGGCCAGTTCCAGCCAGTTAAATGTCCAGAGGGGGCAGTGACCTGAGCATCCCCCAGCAGTCACTGCAGAGAGCCTGAACAGAGGCTTCTCTCAGAGCTGATGCCGACTGACACACTGCAAGGAACTTCTCAAAGGATAATCTGTGGGTGTTTTTCTGTGGCAAGCAGTGACTCGGGAAAGCAAGCATGCATTTTCCTGTAATGCATTTCCTATAACGCTTAAGCCCCCTAAATAATTTAGGAGCTTAAATGATCTTTTCCTAATCTTTCAATGTTCCTGTCACAATGTGAACAACAAATAAATATGCGCTTTGCTTTCAGAACAAACATCATAAAACCTTGAAACACTGAATTTAAATGGGTTCTCTGGGAATACAGTGTCCTCTGTTTCTTAGCTGACCAGATCTCTGGCAACAGCTGCTCACAAATGTTCTCTCTCTCTGCTTTTGTGGTGTTTATATGCCAAAATGAATTATTCAGCATGGGATCATGACAAGCAACAGAAACCAACCTGTTCACTGGGAACATAAAATTAACATACAAGCACCACAAAATGAGAAGAACTGAAAAGGGGAAAAGGGGAAGCATTTAAAACAAAAACCATGGCTGCAGGGAGTGTATGGAGAGGCACCTGGTGTGAAAAAGCAAGAAGGCAGATGGGCAGCAGGAGCCATTGTGGCCCCAGAACACAGTGGCAGCAAGGCTGGTATCAACAGCAGTGGCTGCAGCATCCCAGAGTGCTGCCATGTGCCTGGTTTATAAGATTAGATCAAATTAAGCAACCAAAGCTATTTGAATTTCAAGTATTTCTACTCAGGGTCTGATTCAACTTTCTTGCAATTCAAGCACATGCCCTTTTTGCTATGCTGTCAAGTGGGCTATGTTAAGGAGCTGAATTATCACACTACTGGGGTGAATGACTTTTTGGAAGATATAAAAAAATCATTTATTTATTTATTTTTACTTATCTAGCCTGAACTCTGCCACACTATGGCTGTAAAGACAAATTCAGCCAGCTTATAATGCCATAATGACATAAACCAGCAACCAACAGAAGACAGACTACATTTTGGCACAGGTATTTGCTCACTGGTTCGCTGCCAATTTACCCATCCTTTTAATTTTTTGCTCCTTGGCTGGCAGTTTGAAACACTTCTTCCTGACATGATTTCAGGTTTCCATTTCCACCGATGACTAAATGAACCACGGAAAAGTTATTTACCTAGGACTTTTTTTTAACTTCAGCAGATAATTGCTGTGCAATTAAAGTTTTAATATTATTTAGAAGAAAATGGGGAGGGCAGGAAGAGAACAGGTAATCTACTTAGATGATACACGTTAATATAAACCTGGTATTTTCCACTAGAAGTCAAGAGATTCTTAATTCACAACTGTCTTGCCAAAAGAGAAGTTTGCCTTAATCCTGCCAGCATGTAACTGAGAATATTTCATAATCTCTTTCCCCCACAAGATCATGAGAAGTCAAATGGTGCTAAAAACAATCACATCATCTCTATTTCAAAGAAAATTTGGTCCTCACCAAGATTTCTCAGGCCTGTAGCAAAGAGCACTCTCAGCCTCAAAACAGCTACTGAGCTGATATTTGTAAAAACCCAGTCATTATTTTGAAGTAGATTTTTTCCTCAGTCTTTTAAATTGACATTATTCTTCTTTACACAGGCAATTAAATATTCACCAAGATTTAGAGAACTCCCTCAGGGCAGCAGCTATTTGAACTGAGGCTTCCATGTCCGGTTCTACTTTTCTTTTTCTTAAAAAGAGACTTTAAAGTCTGGGGTTTTTCTTAACCCAGAATCTGCAACCGTCAAGCTCTTCACAAGACTAGGAACATGAGACCGCATGTTCAGGAATAAACTTGAGTAAGAATAACAACAGTTCTGCCTTTACTAATTCAGACGAAAGTACACAGAGAGCACTTGATCATGACAACTATGCTGTAGGCACACATTAAAATATGCTCAGTAGCTACAAAGATGCTACATCTGTGTTCATTTCAAGGATGTGCATTTCAAGGCCAGGCTGGATGGGTCTTTGAGCAACATGGTCTAGTGGAAGGTGTCCCTGCCAGGGGGCTGGAACTAGATCAACTGGATTTCTTAGTGTAGAAGTGTTTTACATGTATATCTAATACTTCAGAGGATTACTTCAGGGAATACTTTCCCCTTCATTCCGTATTTTATTAAATACATAATGCTATCAAAACAAACAGCAAACAAGTCCACTGTAACCCTGTTCTTCCTGACCTCAAAGAGCAATTTAAGGCCTAAAATATGGATAATGAGCACTAACTTTTTGGCAGGAATTATCATCCACCATGCATCTTTGACAAAGGCACCATAGAAACAGATACTGCAATGTTTTAGTTTGTGTAAACAGTAGTCTTTTTTAACATAAAACAGTAACCCAGATGAAGTCCTGTACCAAAAGAAGCATTCTCTTTCATCATATGTAATGCTATGTCTGTGTTTTGGCTATTTTCCCATGAAATCATAGTCGGGGAGAACAGAAGCATTCTGTTTTTAGTGGAACCATTCACATATGTGAATACACATCTTAAGTTTTCAATTCCGTTTTCTGAAGCCAGTATTCCTTCTTAATACCAAATATATTCAGACAGACAACCCTCAGTTTCCCTCAGTCTTTTAGTGTCTCTTAAAATGTTCTTTTGTATTTGTTTTTGGTGGTTTTTTTTTTTTCCTGGAAGAATGCTGTTACTACAGATCTTTTCCAAGATAAGGCAATAAAGAAGAAGTAATTCAGCCTCAACTTCACTAATGTGCTCCTGTGACATGCCATGTTTTACATTAGCTGTCCTCAAATAAGAGGTTTTATATCTCCAAGATTTGCTCACACTTACTAGATCCTCTAACAAGATTAAGCAAGAAAAGTGTCTGAAGACAGAAGGAAAGAAGTACTGCAGTTTGGGGAAGCAGATTTTAGAAATGAAGTGGGAAATAGTCCAGACATCTAAAAATCTCCCCAACCGAAGAATCAGAGAAAATGAAGAACAACTGTCTTTCTATAGAAATCTGTGCTCCGATACACAATAAACATCCTTAATTTGAATGTTGCGAACAGAGATCAGTTTACTGGCACTTTAATCTGACAACACAGGGAAGCTTCTAGCTCACAAATTAAAAAGCCAAAGCCACAGAGCTACTCACCCATCGGCCAGTTATCATACACATGCTTTGCAATATCTGCAGCAGAGTCATTTGGTGAAAATAGGAACTCTTTTGTTTTCCCACTTACCAAGATGAGGCGCAAATTTATCTGTAAAAAGAATAAATAAAAATGCACTATTAGGGAAGCATGCAGGGAAGACAAAGTAGTTAAAGTTACAAAAAGGTGCCATTGGTTTTAGAGTAAGATTGATCCAAAGTGATTCAAGAAAACAGTTTGTGTTGAAAATAGTGTCAAAAGAGGTCAATAAAATGTTGTTGCTTACACATAATCTAGAAAGATTAAATTCTAACAGCTGGCATTTTTGATGATAAATGCCAGAAGATTCTGATAGGTAGTGACAGAATCAGCTGTGCCATTAAAACAAGCTTTCAGCAGAGTGTAAAAGAATTCCAGCCAAGACAGTGACAATGTATCTTCTTGAAGGGAGAAAATATAAACCTGAAATAACCCAAACAGAGAGCACTAAAAATATCAAAACCTGCATCCGCGTGGGCTGTGAGCCCCAGTAAAAGGCCTAGCACCTCCCTCCAGCATGATACTTGTCAGCCCCGATCTCACCCACTAAATTGCCTACAAAACACCAGGGAGTCAAGACAGCATCCTTCCTTGCTCCCAGCTGCCACAGAACTTGAATCCCTGTGCCAGTCTTCTGAACCCAAAACTTTGTTCCACCACTGTCTTTCACTCCGAGCAAATTAGTTGACATCCACATGCAATACAGTAATAACACCATATCACAGCTTTTCTATCATTGATTTCCTCTATCTAACCATAAGCATCTTCAGCTATTATTTTCCTCTTTTATTAGCAAGTTACTGAGTATAATGCCTTTTCCATATAGCATTACAATAACCTGTACAAAGAGCTCACTATGACAATAGTGACTCACAATGCAAAAGAGATTAAACTCTGGCTCCTCAAGCAACTGCTAGCAAGGTCACAAAAAGTGTTTGGGTAATTAGCACTTACCAATGCCCATGGCAAGTAGAAGTCTAGCTGCTTCCATGGCTTGGCCTACAAGCCTAAATGGCATCAACTGTTAGCAAGACTGCAGTAGCCTAACTGCTTGGATACTTTCTTCCAAATCACACTCACAAACTGTGGCTCTCATTTGAAGTTGCAACAAAGCTTTCCTTGTTGGAATTCAGTAAACTGTTGTTTTTTTTTTCTAGATCAAATATAAAAAGATTTACATTGATGCCCAAATTTTCAAGACTTCTACCATCCTGCACACTTTAAGGTCAATGAATAAAATGACCCCTCCAAAAAGCAATTCAGTCTCTATTTCAAAGCGTAGCAAGGATTCAAACAGTTAATGTAAAAGGGCCAGGTTGCCCTCGCTGTTCCCCATCAATGCCCTTCAAAAGCCAAGAGGTAGCTGTCTCTGAGAAAGCACCACAGCACCACAATATTGTATTGCACAGAATCATAGAATCAGCTAGGTTGGAAAATACCTTTAAAATCAAGTCCAAATCACTGCATACCATGAAATCATAAAACAACTTAAAGGGGAGAAGCTGCAGGAATGCTGTTTACACAACTGTTCATAAAATTCAGAACACACTTGGCTACAAGCATTAAAGTTCTGTGCTCTCTGATATTTCCAGAATGATTAAAGAATTATTTTCAAATCTCAACAAGATTTAGCAGGAAAAGCAAACCAAGTTCCACTATTCCTGTTTACTCCAAAAACCTGGCTACTGTAATTGAATTACGACTTCCAAATGTTATGCCTAAGTTCAGCAACGGCCAGACCATGTCTACCTATTGTTTTGCTTATACTGTCTTTCAGTTTAAGTAGTTTCCCCCCTTTTAGCTGTCTCCACTTGTACATGTATGGACAGCACTTACATATATAGTTTCTGTAGCTGGACTGCCCCAGACAAGCGCTTTAATCTTTCTCTGCTGTGATACCCATTTCCCCATTCATCCCAGGAGCCTGTCTCTGCACACTTCAATTTCTTCTCTTTTCTCCTCAAACCAGATTATTATTTCTGACACAGTTTAGTTGATTTTGCGATTGTATGTGTTACCAGATGGTTGTATAATGCCACCAGTAATTTCCTCTGTCTACTGGAAATACCTTCTGTGTCTATGTCCCAAGAGCACATATGCCTTCATAAATGCCCCATGCTTTTTGCTCAGTTACTTCGTACCCTTCTCTACTTTGATCCTTTCAATAATTCAGCCTGCATTCTTCTAACCAACATTTTGGCTGTAATGCCCTGAAGCACAAGGCTCCAAATTTCATACCACTCCTATTATTCCATTCCTTCCAGGGAAAAGAGGTGAGGTGGAAAGAAGTATTCTGTACCACAAAGATGTTTCAGATCACTCCATGTCTGGGCCCATGCCCTATGAAATCCCCCAGAATTTCAATGGAACACTTTTTCATGTTAAGAGTACTTTTTCATCTTCATGTCATCAAATTCTAGCAGCAAGATCCCTTTACATATACCTTTGTCATTAGATGAATCAGATAATGCAAGACTGATCTGACAACTGATCTATAACGATTCCACTAAGAAGCTCTGAGCTTGTTTCCCTCCCCTCAGCTAGGTCCTTTATCTTAGGCCCTTCCAAACAATTTCTCTACTAGATCGCAATTTCTCCTATTTAGCCAGCAGTTTGCAATACAGCACCACATCACTTACTGTGTACATATTCAGATGAAACTACAAAAATGTCTATGTAGAAAATAGGGTTTTTTTCGTCAAAAGTCAGCTTGCCAAGCTCTGCCTTTCAGAGGCTGCACTGCATTCCACTTTCTCTATACCTCATTATCTTTAATTATCCTTTAAGCATTAACGCATCTCATTACAAAACCAGCACAGTGCCAAAAATTCAAGAGTTTCAGAAAGCACCACAAACTGTTATTGTACTTGGGAATGGGCTGCCTGTTTAAGAAACAAACAAACCAAACAACCCCAAATACTCAGCAGCAGTGCCTGCTGTAGGCAGTAGCAGTGAGAAGCTTCATCACAAGTAGCCAATCTGCCTCTCACTCCAATCCCCCTGCATCCACTTCCTCTACTCTAACTGGCCCCCTCACCTTGCTCCCTCTGGCCAAGTAGTCACCCCAACTCTGATTTTGTGCAGGCTACCTAAGGATTTCTTATCCTTCATCTGTGTGTAGCTTATCCGTGGTTGGGATTATCTCTTTTGAAGATCATAACACTTTCCTAGGCAGCAGACAGAACACCAAACCATCAGCTCCCTAGTACTGTCTGATCTGGATCCGACAAGGAGATGATTAAAAAAAAACCCAGAAGATTAGTCCTGCTCAGCACTTAAAATATGGTTATGGCACAGCATTAATACAGAACTGAAGTCATTTTTCAGATAGCATAATATTAAGGGGACAGATTTCTTTTTATCCTCACTACTGAGTTTTGAGATTACCAGTGAATACAGAAAGAAGAATATCACAGAGAAATAATCAAAACTAACTCAGCTTCCTGTAAAATTTGATTAAGTGGTACTTCTGCATCTAATGTACAGTATAAGCAACAGGAAAAGATAAAAAGTGTCAGTTCCTTCTTCCCCCTCTCCAACTCCCCAAGACAGATAACTTCATAGTTCTACATTTTTTTGTTGCTGAGGAGCATTTCTTATAGTCCTACTATGATATATAAAAGGCTCATTAAGATAAACGGATAATTTTATGGGTATATGACAAAGTATGTGTAAAATGCAGGAGGAATATTTTAATTTTAAAAATAATAAACTGAATCACCAAATACAAGCAGAAGCTCAAAATAAATCCTTAAATCAGTCAAGCAGATGTTGCTTCAAGTGCAAGGAAACAGCTGCTCTAATGAAAGGTTAAAGTATTTTCTTATTTATAGTACAGCATGCCACTGACATTTCGTTTGCATGTTTGTCTATATATATGCACATATATGTATGTGCATACATATATAAAAGATATATATCTCCTTATATTTCTTAACTTTGGCTTGAATGAATCTTAGTCTTGAGTTGCACACTGCACTACCTCAAAGGGTTTGAAGCAAAGAATCTTAAAACTTGCCTTTAAATTTAGGGTCTAATCTCATTCCCTCAAGAGCACTGTGAAATTTAATGGCTTGCAACTGCTGTACTACTTACTTCTGCAAGCCTGAGAACACCACTTCAAACAGACTACAGGGGATCTGAAACAAACCTTTCTGGCAAAATGCCTTGCGATGAAAGATCATATCTAAAAGGAAAGGGGGGGGGGGAGAGCATATGTGCATACACATTTACTCAAAGAAAAGTGTAGGAAAAAAAAACCAAAACTTGTTTAGATAGGGAAGTTTTGACACAAAAGCAGCAAATTTTTTCAAGTTACGAAAGGATTCCTAGTAGTCTTAGCTACCCTGTATCCTATTTCTTGTGTTAAAAGTTAGCAAGACAGTCTTATCTGTTTCCCATGTATGCCTGAAGCCCCTCCATCCATGCTTGTCAGAAGAGCCTTGGTGCTGTGACACTGTTGTGATTCCCATGGCCCTGACAAGTTTGTTCTTCCACAGGCGTCATAACAACAACCATCCTGATTTCTTTTTCCAGACTACCAAAGCGAATTCCAGTCTTTTGCTACAGCAAACTGATAAGGAATAAATACATCCTCACGTTTATGCATTATCACAGCAACTGCAAGGTTACTGATGAAAACAGCGATGAACAGCTCCAGCATCAGCAGTAGGACTGAACACAATGTGTGGACCACATCCCCTCTACACAGTTGCATAATAGCACGCTCTGTTTGTGCTCTCAAGCATGCAAACCTCACCCTTGCCCCCCAAACCAACACCAATCTCATCATTACAGCACCACTAACTTCCCCATCAGTGCACTGCATACACAATAAAGAATGTCAGTGTAATTAAAGTGTAAAACAAAACCCCTACATACAGTGTAAAAGAAAAACCCTACATAAATTAAAAATATATATCTATGCAAAGACTGCTGTAACAACTGTGACCACAACTTTTGGAACAGAAATCTGGATGATGTATATGCAGATGTAGAATAAAGTGTGTTTTGCTATAGGTATCTGCAACGGAGTTTGTTCATTCTTTAAGGTGTAACTACAAACTGTCTTG